TATGCTAAGGGGTCATTAAGCATCAACTGACCTTAGAACCTATAATTGACCAACTTGGCCATAGAACAGTAGCAGTATGCTACACTCATTGAGACTAAACTCTCGCGATGATTCTGGCCGCAAGAAAAGGTTGCTAAACTGGAATTATGACCGATCGAGGGTAGTCAGTGATATTGAGATCCTCTAGAACCCGGTTACTATTTTTAGGACAGGTTTGAACCAACTGAACTGAAGACTCTTTTCCAGCTTGAAATCTAAGGGCTCTCTGTGTGACTTGTGTGCCTTTACCATGTTTGCTATTTGTGGATACTTGTGGTGTGTTTTCTATCATAACATCATGCATCATGACATTGCATGCATCTTGCATCAAGACTAACCTATTTCAAAGACAGGAGGGATTCATCTTTGTTTTGTTTTGTAGGTCATGGCACCCATGCGTAGAAACACTATTCAGATCAACTTTGTCAGATTTCCACTCAGCTTAAGGAATTGATTGCAAAGATGCCAGATACTTCTTCCTTTATCAAAATACATGGGCATCTCTTGGGTTTGGTCACCTCCAAGATGGATGAACAGATGATGAGTGTCTTAGTCCAGTTCTTTGATCCACTGTACCATTGCTTTACTTTTCCGGATTACCAGCTAGTCCCTACCTTGGAAGAGTTCTCTGATCTACTGGGCATCTCTATTCTGGAGCAGACCCTGTTCACAGGTTGGGAGAAAGTCCTTATGACAAAGGCTGAGGTAATATCAAACTGGGAGACTAGAAGTGGGGCAAAAGGCTTCTTGACTAAATTCTTGGTTGGTAAGGATAATCAGTTATGGGACAGTCTAGACTTCCAGGCATTTGAAGACATTCTGGCTCTTCTCATATATGGTTTGGTGTTGTTTCCTAACTCCGATTCCTTTGTTGACGTGAATGCGGTGAAGATCTTCATTTCCCATAATCTTGTACCCACTCTCTTGGGTGACATTTTGCACTCTCTTTATGCCCGTACTACTCGGAAGCGGGGAACCCTTATGTGATGTGCGCCATTGCTAAAGAGGTGGTTTATTTCTCACCTCTCCAAATCAGTTCTGAAGAACAAGGAAGGCATGGGTTGGGCCTATAGGGTTATGTCTCTCTCTCATAATGACATCATTTGGACTATTAAAGGTATAGAAGATGTGGCTATTATTGATCGCTGTGGGGAGTACCCCAATGTTCCATTGCTAGGAACCCATGGAGGAATCACTTATAATCCGTGTTTGGCCTTACGTCAGTTTGGGAGAGCTAGAAGGGAAGGACCTCATGAGTTGCTAATGCCGAGTATTGTCTTTGATTTCCAGGGGGATAGTGACGAGCAACGCCGCAAATTCATAAGAGCTTGGGATAAGGTACACATGTCTGATCTACATGAGCTGGGTGCGAAGACCTCTCTACCAATGGAACCATATCTCTGATGGGTTCGCATACGTGCCCAAAAGCTGGGAATGCCCTACGAAGTTGTTTTGCCTATAACTCTTGAGGTTGCTGATGAAGAAGGGGTTCCTCCTACCATCCTCCATCCATACATGCCTACTGACATCGGGGTGTTAAAGAGATCGTGGATGCAGCTAAGAGAAGAGCGGGATACTTACAGAGAAAAGTATCACGAACAAGAGCAGAAGATTCAGAAGTTGACAAGGCAGCTGGAGAATGAGCGGATCCTCAATGACTATGTCCGCACCGACAAGAAACGACCATGGGAACACTGGTTGTCTTTTTGATTATTTCTAGTTTTTAATTTACTTTTCAGCTTTTCTTTCTTGTAACGCCTTAAAGGCATCTATTGAACAATTGAATTCAAAGTTTATTTAATAAAAGTGTGTTCATTTTGGTTGACAGATTTGAAACTCTCGACGTCTTTGAAATCATATCATACGCATTTCATTCCCATACACATCATCACAAGTACCCATTACAGGTTTTTCTCATCTTCTTCTCTGTTTATTTCAGCATCATGTCTTCTGAAACATCAACTGAACAAGCAATCAAGGCTCTGCAAGCTCAAAACGCCCAGTTCCAGGAATTGTTCATGAGTTTGGCTAAGGGTCAGAAAGATCTGAAGACCCTTATCTTGAAAGAGAATAAGAAGAAGAAGAAGACAATCCTATTTAATATGGGTCACAGATTCAGAAATGATTTGCGAGAAGAGGTTGATTTGACCCACTAATATGGAGGGGGAGATAATCAGGAAGAAAGGAGGGCCCCTAGCCCCGTGGTTTCATACAACGAGACTGACTTTGACGAAGACCAGTATCCTCCGGTTGAGGATCAATATAAACAACTGGAAGACCGGTTAAGCGCGATGGAAGTTCAGAAAATGACTGGTCTGGACTTTGGTGATTTGGGTTTGTCATCTAGGGTGGTAATTCCCCACAAGTTTAAAGCACCGATCTTTGCTAAGTACGACGGGGTTTCTTGCCCAAAGCTGCACCTCCGTTTGTATGTTAGGAAGATTCAGCCATACACCGCTGACAAGAACCTCTGGATCCACTTCTTTCAAGACAGTCTCTTAGGGACTCAGCTTGAATGGTTTTACCAGCTGAAAGGAGCTAGTATCCGTAATTGGGAAGACTTGGCTGCTGCTTTCTACAAGCAGTACCAATATAACGCCGACCTCGCTCCTACGCGTACCCAACTCCAGGGTATGTCTATGGGTGCGGGTGAAGGTTTTAAAGATTATGCTCAGAAGTGGAGGGACCTTGCTGGTAGAGTGCAACCTCCCTTGGCTGATAGGAAGCTAGTGGATATGTTTTTGGGGACCTTGTCTGGTCAATATTTCAACCATCTGATTGGAAGCTCATCGTCCGGGTTTACAGAGTTGATTATGACTGGGAAAGGATTGAGGCTGTTATCGAATCCGGCAAGATACAGAAGGGTGCTTCATCAGGCACCGAGAAGAAGCCTTTTAAGAAGGAGTCCAGTGCTGTTTACAGTTCAAAAAGCCAGAATAGACCTGAACATCGTCAAGCTGTTAATGCGGTTGTTATATCGAGACCTGCTGTTGCTTCTCAGCGTAACAACCAGCCAAGGGCCGAGAGGCTGCAAATATAATTCACTCATCTCAACATGACTTTATCCCAAATTTTGCCGCATTTATTGAAGACCAACTTGGTGATTCCAAAAGAGGCCCCGAAGAGCCCTAATATAACATCACCGATGTACGATCCGAATGCCCGTTGTGCTTTTCACTCTAATAGCCAGGGGCATGATACAGATAACTGCTGGGTCTTGAAAAACAAAGTACATGACTTGATTGACGCGAAGGAGATTGAATTCGAAGCACCTGAAAGACCTAATGTTGTGACTGCTCATATGCCCAAGCATGGAGTGAATGCTATAGATGAAGACTCGTTTGTGGTTTCTGTGAAAGATATTGTTACTCCCTTAATGACTGTGAAGAAGAACCTTCTGTTAGCCGGTTTATTTCCGGGCTGTGGCGAAGGTTGCCATCTGTGTGCCGTCCTACCTACCGGTTGCCATCTTTTGAAGTCAGGTGTCCAACGCCTGATGGATAATAAATAAATTCTGTTTGAGAAGGCTTTTGTTCCTTTTGTTCCTACTGAAGAAGTTGCTATAATCACCATTTTCGACAATTCTTCCAAGGCTTCCTCGAGAAAGCCTGTTAGAATTACATCTGTTCCAAGAATCACACCATTCTTGGGCCTATCCCCTATACATCAGACAAAGTTGTCCCGTGGCACTACGAGGCTGACGTATATTATCACGAAGTTAAACAAGATTTGGATGCTGATACTGACGTCAGCAATATTGTTGGATCTAGTAAAGTCACCCGCAGCAGAAGGATTTTCTCCCCTGAAATCTCTGCACCAACTGTTCGGAAACCTGTTGTTATTACAACTGCCAGTGTACCTGCTGCTGTTCCTGTTCAAGTTCCAATTCTTACCCCTGTTGCCGAGTCATCTGACACTCGGGGCAAAGGGACCACTGATGAGCCTGCCCGGATGGAGGCACCAAAGACAATTACTGTTGAAGCCTCTAGACAAGAGATGGAGGAAATTTTTAAGATTATCAAAAAGAGAGACTATAATGTAGTCGAGCAGCTGGGGAAAACCCCGTCCAAAATCTCTATGTTGTCTCTATTACTTTGCTCAGAAGCCCATGCCAAGGCTCTGATTGCTTTCCTGAAGACTGCACACGTACCGCAAGAAACATCAGCTGATCAATTTAAAGATTGTGTGGCTAGTCTGACTGCTGATAATGGGTTGGGTTTCTCTGACGCCGACTTGCCTGCTAAGGGAAGGAATCACAATGACGCCCTGCATGTCTCCATTTAATGCAGGGGCACTACTCTTGCTCATGTATTGGTGGATACTGGTTCCTCATTGAACGTTTTGCCTAAGAAAGCTCTAGACTAGTTGGACTGTGAGGGTTTAGAGTTGAAACCAAGTAACATTGTTATCAGGGCCTTTGATGGGTCAAAGAGAATGGTACATGGAGAAGTGGATATTCCAGTGAAGGTTCACTACAAGAAAATTAGTGTTTAACGACACAAAAATTGCGACAGTTATGTGATAACTGTCGTAATTGACATATAGAGACAGTTTTTACGACGGTTGACACCAACCGTCCCTAATATTTATTTTGCGACGGTATATTTAACCATCATAATATTATTATTACGACGGTAAAACAACCGTCGGCCCCCATTTAACACTTTTAACATTGATTTTTCACCAACAACTAGTCACGACGGTAAAATTAACCGTCCTAAAAGGCATATCACGACGGTAAAACACCCGTCGCAGTAAAAAAGTTAAAAATACCAAAAAAATACCAAAAAAAGTGAAGGGCCTTAGGAAAAGGTAGAACATCTCGGTCCACTAGAAGCAAGATCCATCTCCAACCTTTCTATTCCCAATCAACATTATCTCCTCATTTATACTTATGATAAGAGAATAACAGAAAAAATAAGATTTGGGATTTCATATGTCGTGTATGCCTTGGTTGCCAGAGGCACGGTGGTTCTGGCGGAGTTCAGTGCCGTCACCGGCAACACAGGCGCCGTCGCTCGTCGGTTACTCGAGAAGCTTCCTACCGAATCGGATTCCAGACTTTGCTTCTCTCAAGATAGATATATCTTCCACATACTCCGATCCGATGGCCTCGCGTACCTTTGTATGGCCAACGACACCTTCGGAAGTGAGTAGCTCGCCGTTCTTTTGTTTTCTTGATTTATTGTTTTTGACCTAATTGCTTTAATATCCAATTCTAATGTTTGTGCTGAAAAAATGATTATGGAAGGATCAGTATTCTTTCTAGAATGAAGATAGGGTTTACTTGGAGTGGTTTTGGTTAGTTTCTTTTGTTTAAACTTATAATGATTATATGATTGTTATATATTGAAAATGAACTGTGTTGGTGTGGTGAAATTGAAAAAAAAAGGTGTGATTGAAGTCTGCATCATTGTTTATGTGTTGTTAGTTAGTTCATCTATTAAGAGATTCAATTGTGTTACTGTTGGGGATGGAGCTGTGGGTAAAACTTGTTTGCTAATTTCCTACACTAGCAATACCTTCCCCACTGATTATGTGCCAACTGTCTTCGACAATTTCAGTGCAAATGTGGTTGTGAATGGAAGCACTGTTAATCTGGGTTTGTGGGATACTGCAGGACAAGAGGATTATAACAGATTAAGACCTTTGAGTTATCGTGGTGCCGATGTTTTCATTTTGGCTTTCTCCCTCATTAGCAAAGCCAGTTATGAAAATGTTTCCAAAAAGTGGATTCCAGAGTTGAAGCATTATGCACCTGGTGTTCCCATTATTCGGGATGACAAGCAGTTCTTTGTTGACCATCCTAATTTAGAACTATTTTTGACACGGGCAATGGAGAAACTTGACATTCAGAGATATACCAGGGAAGCTGGTTTGAGAAATTTGGTGAGGAACTTGGCCGGACAAAATTAGTTTTGAATTCATTGAATCAATGATTAATTACTAAAAAAAAATCTCATTTATCATTTTGAGGTTGTTCAGGTTTTAGTGTAAGTTTATCATTTAATATTTTGTTTAATGATTGAGAAATTTATATTGTAATAAATCAAATTATGTTTGTAATCTTTGTGAACATGTCATGAGACTGTGTAACCTTAAGAAAGATGCAAAGACGAACATCCATGCTATTATTGACAAGTTAGCAGAGAGAGGTCTTCGTTCTCTTGCTGTTTCTAGACAAGTATTTTATATCTGGTATCCATCTCCAACCTTACGAATTGTATACTGTGTATATTAATTAAAAATTGATGATAAATTTTATTTTGTGCTGTTTCTTTTCCAGTGGATTCCAGAGTTGAAGCATTATGCACCTGGTGTTCCCATTATTCTGGTTGGCACTAAGCTTGGTAAGTTTATTTTTTCCTAATGTAAACATCTGATACTGTAATATCATGCATTAGTCAGTTGCTTCCTTCTAGCGTATTAATTTATATCAAACACTGTTTGTATTATGAAATTATGTGTTATTAATTCTATGGATTCCATGATCCATGAATGCTGCTTTCAGCTACTTGCACATTATGTATTTTCATGAGTTAGTTGATTCGTAATTCTTTTCATGTTGATATTATAACCGATGGAAGAGAAACTCCTTTCTTCCGGTAAAGGGGTGAAGAATTGTTTTATTGCTTCATCCTGTACCTGTTTTTCTTCTCTTCTAAGCTTTCGTTTCAATTTATTCTTCCAATGCTTGTTACAACAGTTATGCTCATGCTTTTTGTTGGATATTCTTCTTTCTTGTATCTATTTTCGAAGATGTTTTGTGCTGTAGGGATTTTTCTAAATTGACATTGCTGTCTTATACTTGTTAATTAGTACAGTTTACACATCATTGTTTCTATTAAAGTTTTAGATGTTGAACAATATGTATATTCAAAGATTTCTGCTTTCTTTTGTCTCATATGAACACACCAGATGGAATGATTTGGCAGTCTAGTACAATGCTAGAGTAACATACGTAGCTAGACTATATGATTACGTCTAAAAAGTAGGAAGCGTTTTGTCAAATGCAATAGCACGATTTGAAAAGTTGTTAATTTGGAATTTTGATTTGGACTACCGCATTGTTCTCATCGGAAGTGTATTAGTATTTGACATTAATTAAAATAGTCATTCAAAGTTAAGTTTTTTTATTGATGCTATGTGCACGCGAAAAACAATTGTGTTAACAGTCTCCGTGATGTGCATATTCTATTATGTGTTTTGTCAAATAAGAATTATTCCTTTACCATCTTGTGATTTGAAATGAGACAGATCTTCGGGATGACAAGCAGTTCTTTGTTGACCATCCTGGTGCTGTGCCCATTACCACTGCTCAGGTGAATATTGTGTTTCTGGTGCTTCTTTAATTGCATTATACTTATGCATGTTCACAACCTAAATCAAATCTTAAATTTGCATATCATCTTGAAGGGAGAAGAGCTTAGGAAGCTGATCAATGCACCTGCTTATATTGAATGCAGTTCTAAATCACAGCAGGTATATGATTGAATCTATTTTTCTCTTCTTTTTGTGCACAACGGTTTAGTCAATTAGCGGTTCTAAATTCATGTATGGTCTTTACTGCAGAATGTGAAAGCAGTCTTTGATGCAGCCATAAGAGTTGTCCTTCAACCACCAAAGCAAAAGAAAAAGAAGAGTAAAGCACAAAAGGCCTGTTCGATATTGTGATTTGCTAGGTCGGTCTAAAAATTTGACAACCATTTCTCCAATCTGTAATTCTCTCCTCTTCTTCGTTTTCTTCATTCCTACGCCGTTGAAGAAGTTGAAGTCTATGTGGGTGTTCGTTCGTCTAACATACTCTAGATCTCCTTGAAGCATTAAGGTGGTTGATGCTTTGTTTTTCTTGGAATTATTGTGAATTCTAATTGTCAAATTTGCATTTCATGGTTCCCACCTTTTTCTTAACTTAAGTTTTATGTATTAATAGACTGGAATTATCCCAGTTAGGATGATGACTACCTTGTTTGCTTGAAGATATATATAATATCTAAATTACATATATATAATATCTAAAGGTGTGATTTTAGTTGGGAAGAAATCTTGAAATGACCATGAATCTCAGATGATTCTGCACTTTTCTATGCGAAGAGATGAGCAATCCAACAGTAACTTCTTACTTTAACTTCTTACCATAATCAGTTTTGATGAAGTATGCGTGATGTTGATTATCGTTGTTGAGAAGCCGATTCGGACTTGTTGATGAAAATGATTTTGTGTAGAGAAGCAGTTAGAGAGTGAGTTTTGGAGAGATGAAGTTCTGAGAAGAGTTTCGGATGTGTGCAGAACGAATTGTTGAAGTTTTAGAAGTGAAATCGTTGAAGACTCATAGAAGATTTTTTGTAATTCTCTCAAGTTGTAGCAAACCAATGTAAATATTAAAATGAAATTTGGCCTTTGATGATATTTGAATTTTTCTTGTTTATTGGTAAAATTTGCACTTCTTTTTACCTTTGATCACATTTTTTTGATATTATTGATGATTATTTGATATTAAATGTTTTTATTGTAATTAACTTTATTATGTTGAAAAGTGATAGAAAATAAAATAAAAATACTATAAATAAAAAAATATTAAAGTAAATAATAATTTAAATATAATAGTAAAATATTATAGTAAAATAATATTATATTTAAAATTATTTTACTAAATAATAATTTAAATAAAAATATTATTTGAAATTTATAAATCAGATTACGACGGTTAAAACCGCCGCAATTTCTAACCTACGGCGGTAGAATAACCGTCGCAAACAACAACAAAAACAAAAAATAAAGTCAAATTCACGACGGTATATAACCGTCGCTATCTGTTGTGCGTGACAGTTTTTGCAACCGTCGCGAAATAGGCTGGGGACGCACGATTCTGCGACGGTACTTCTACCGTCGTAGATTGTAAATTGCGACGGTTTTAACCGTCGTAATCAGCCAAAATAACCGTCCCAATCTATCATTTTTCTTGTAGTGGTTGGTTCTCAGGTCTTTGCATCTACTTTTTATGTGATGGACATTCGACCATCCTATTCTTGTTTGATGGGTCGCCCATGGATCCACAAATCTGGGGAAGTCATCTCTACGCTTCACCAGATGCTGAAATACCCAGTCCAAGGGAAAATTGTTACGGTATGAGGGGAGGAGGAGTACATGGTGAGCCACCTCAACTCTTTCCGATATGTGGAAATGGATGAGGAGTTCATTGAAACCCCGTTTCAACATTTTGAAGAAGTTCCCCAGACACTTGCATCAACTGAAACTGTCAATGAAGATCCTCCTATGAAGATGGCTTCCCTCAAAGATGCTCGGGCTGTTATTGAGAAAGGTGGGTGTGCAAAGTTGGGCCAACTCCCTGATTTTGCACATAAGACTAACAAGTTTGGTTTGGGTTTCACTGCAGAAGCTCAAAGGGATGTTCGGAGTGCAAGGACTGGAAGACCTCCCCTGTTTATCAGCAATTCAGGAGTGAATGCCATTGAAGACGATGTTGAAGAATCTGAGTTCTAAAGTTGGATCTATCCTACCACTGAGGGTGGAATAAGCAACTGGACAACAAAGGACTTCATCCCAATTTCTTTTGTTACCCAGTAATGAGACTTTTGTTTTGTATATGTAACAGACAATGTTTTAAACTTTATGGCCCGATGTCTTACCCGAGGCACCGTGGCTTCATTTGTGAGGGCTTTATGTGTGTCATCTACATATATCATTAATAAAAGCATTGGACGTTTCTTGCATTTCAAATTTTTTGCTCCTTGTTTTTCTTTCATATTGCGAAACAACTATTTTACACACACTCACATATACAGGTCTACATCCACTCTGGATCTCACTGGTAACGACTCTGCTACTGCCAGTTATGACTTCGAAAGTCCGATCAACTTAGCTGAAGACGAAGGTGAAGATGATTGTGAAGTTCCTGTTGAACTTGCTAGATTGCTACTTCAGGAAGAGAGGGCTATACAGCCGCATGAAGAGCCAATAGAATCAGTAAATCTGGGTACAGAGGTGGACAAGAAAGAGGTAAAGATCAGTGCAAATCTGGAAGCTAGTGTCAAGCAACGGATGATTCAGATGCTGTGTGACTATGTTGAGATCTTTGTCTGGTCTTATTAAGATATGCCTGGGTTGGATACCGATATTGTGGTTCATCGATTGCCTACCAAGGAAGACTGTCCTCCAGTGAAACAGAAGGTCCGCCGAATGCGCCCAGAGATGTCCGAGAAAATCAAGGCTGAAGTTATGAAACAGTTTGATGCCGATTTTCTAGCATTTACTTCTTACCCACAGTGGGTTGCCAACGTGGTTCCAGTACCAAAGAAGGACGGTAAAGTTAGGATGTGTGTTGACTATAGGGATTTGAACAGGGCAAGTCCCAAGGATGATTTCCCTCTGCCTCATATCGACGTTCTGGTTGACAACACTGCTCAGCATAAGGTTTTCTCTTTCATGGACGGTTTCTCCGGTTATAATCAGATTAAAATGGCTCCCGAGGATATGGAGAAGACAACCTTTGTTACTCAATGGGGTACCTTTTGCTACAAGGTCGTGCCTTTTGGATTGAAGAATGCTGGGGCAACGTATCAGCGCGCCATGGTCGCTTTGTTCCATGACATGATCCATCATGAGATTGAGGTATACGTTAACGACATGATTGCAAGATCCCAGACCGAGGAGGAGCATCTTGACCACCTTCAGAAGCTATTTGACAGGTTGAAGTTGTACAAGCTAAGGTTAAAACCGAAGAAATGCACCTTCAGAGTGAGATCTGGTAAACTGCTGGGTTTCGTCGTAAGCGATAAAGGTATTCAAGTGGATCCTGCAAAGGTGAAGGCTATACAGGAAATGCCAGCTCCCCGAATAGAGAAAGAAGTCAGAGGCTTTCTGGGACGTCTGACCTATATTTCCCGATTCATCTCGCACCTGACTGCTACTTGTGAGCCAATCTTCAAGCTACTGAAGAAAGATCAAGTGGTAAGATGGAACGATGAATGTCAGGCCGCTTTCGAAAGAATCAAAGAGTGTCTCCAAGGGCCACCTATTCTGATGCCTCCAGTTGAAGGGATACCTTTAATCCTATACTTGACAGTACTCGACAACTCAATGGGGTATGTGCTGGGGCAGCATGACGAGTCTGGACGAAAAGAGCATGCTATTTATTACCTTAGCAAAAAGTTTACCGACTGCGAGACCTGATACTCATTGCTTGAGAAAACTTGTTGCGCTTTGGCATGGGCTACTCGCCGGCTGAGATAGTATATGCTGACTCACACTACCCTGTTGATATCAAAGACGGATCCAATCAAGTATATCTTCGAGAAGCCTGCCTTGTCCAAAAGAATAGCGAGATGGAAGATGATCTTGACTGAGTATGACATCCAGTACACGACCCAAAAGAAAATCAAAGGAAGTGTATTGGCAGATCATTTGGCACATCAAGCAGTGGACGATTACCAGTCTATGAACTTTGAATTCCCGGACGAGAATATCATGTTGGTAACTGATTGTGAGACACCTGGACCGGATGAAGGACCTGAGGAAGGATCCCGATGGTCTATGTACTTTGATGGAGCTTCGAATGCTTTGGGTAATGGCATTGGTGCCATGATCATATCTCCTAAAGGCTCTCATACTCCATTCATCGCCCGACTATGTTTCAATTGCACCAACAATATGGCGGAGTATGAAGCGTGCATCATGGGTCTTCGAGCAATAATTGACCAAAGGATTAAGTTCTTGAGTGTGTTCAGAGATTCTGCTCTCGTGATCAGTCATATCAAAGGCGAGTGGGATACGAAACACCCAAATCTTATTCCTTACAAGGAGTATGTGTTGACGTTGCTTTCGCACTTCAAGGAGATAACCTTTGAACACTTCCCTAGAGAGGAGAATCAGTTGGCGGACGCGCTGGCTACAATGTCTTCTATGTTCAAAGTCAATTGGGACAATGAGGCTCCCCGAATTATTATTGAAAGGTTGGATGAACCTGCACATTGCTGTGACATTGAGAATGAAGAGGTAGTAGATAAACCCTGGTTTCATGAGGTGAAGAGGTATCTCGAGACTCAGGAATACCCCAAAGGTGCATCTGTTAATGACAAGAAGTTTCTGAGGAGGTTCGCAGCGAAATTCTTCATCAGCAATGGCATCCTTTACAAGCGTAACTGTAGTTGTTTAGTTATTGGCATGCATTTTTGGTAAAACCAGGTGTGTGAATGTCATGACTGATGTCATAACATTCTAGTTTATTAGGTACTGATTCATTAGGTACCTTTGCAGAAAAATATTGTCATACAGGTGCTGCTGTTTATGAGTGTGTATCTGAGCATTTTGCAAAAAGATCACATTTACCAAAATCAGTAGAAAGGAATTCAGATGTCATAACAAATGTTAAGACATCCTGTTCTGAACTAACAATTATGCAGTTTGGGTAATTCTGAGTTTTTTTCAGGAAAATGACTCAGTCTTTCCAGAACAGAAAATCTCGTGGACTTGGGATTAACCTAGCTCAACCCTAACCTGGTTGATAAAGTCATGTGACCAAGTCTTAAGGTCAAACGGAATTAACCCTAGCTTTTTGAGGAAACCCTAACTGAAGTTGCAGCTGCTATATATTCAACAGGGCTGCTGTTTGGAATTTATCCCTTTTGACAGAAGATCATTTAGAAGCTGTATAG